TACAAATACAGGCCATTTACCATTTACTACAGTTAATGTAATGACCCTTTCATATCTCTAAATATAGCAACGGCATCTGGCTGTTTCAAAGCAATAAAATTGGTTTACGGAGTTGTAATTGAGCAAACCTAGACTGGGGAGAGATCACTGAATAAAATATTCAAATGAAAGTATACAAACAAACTACAATAAAGTTTTATGACATAATTTGGTGGTAAATTCTGTCCTGTTAAAAGAAAAACCTCTGCTGTGTCTAGGAGCGGAGAAACAAAAACATACAAGTGACGCAGTCATCCGCACTACCCTACATCCACAAATAGCTTCTGGCAGGAATATGCAACTCTGTAACACAAATAATGGAAAACAGCCAGAATCTGGAGACAAGTAAAAGTACCCCACAGAAACATTTAAACACCTTGAACTGTTTATTCTTCAAATTCGAAAGATCTACGTAAGTAAACTGGATCAACTAAAGCAGAGAAGATACATAAGATAAACACTGCTGTTATATGTAAACAGTAACTTTATTGAATGATGGCAAAACAAAGTCAGAGTAGCCTTTTTATGATTTTTGCCATCAGCAGGGTGTGTGTGATTTCTTCTCATTTTAAAGGTAATTAAGGCAGGATGCAGGGTTCAGGACAAGCAGCCTATAAGTCTGCTGCAAAATAGCAGTGAGCAAATATCCTGTAGTGGCTGAGTAATACCAGAAGAATGTGACTGGTAAGTTTCTTCTCCAGGTGAATCATTTAAACCACCTGTGACCTGTTACCGCCCACATTCCTTTCCTGCATTAACAATACGACTGCAACTGCGTGCAATAAAACAACAAATGTTTTGTAGATGCACAGTTACAGTTCTGTGCAATAAAAATGTTTAGGTGCAAGTTGTACAGTAAATATATTTCCATTCTCCCCAAAAACTGCAATAAAATTATTACATATATTATTAAAAATAGTTTGAACCCTATGAGATCTAACTCACCTATGGTAATGAATCTAAACCTTAGCCTTTGCTATCTGAATATATCATTCTCATTTATTTATTTATTTTTGACACTAGGGCCGGGGTCAAACTCAGTTTTACTCATTGCAACTAATTTTAGAGGTCTAGGCTGATTATCAGAGCATTCAAAGTCTTAACAGTTCCACGTCTTCACTTGAACCCATCCTCACACCCCTTTTTTTGTACTTTTAGCTGTTTATATAAGAGCATTTTAACCACTGTAAACACCTCGTGACAGTGTGGTATTTTTCCTGCCTTACTTAAATCTTGCTAAACCACATTTAAAGAAAAACAGTCTAAATCTGTCTGTTGTTAATAACTGCAGACACATAACTAATCTTACATTACTTTGTAGAATATTAAGGGAAAAAAACCATCCACGAGTTACCACTGACACTACACTATGAAGATTTCTAATGATTTCTGCAATGTTGTAACTACAGAGGTGGGCAGGCCAATGGAGGGTGGGACTTTGGTGTTTGTCTTGGGAATTTTAGCTCATGTGTCATACCCCATGACAATTACGGATTAACTTACACCAGTTACCATGGTCACTTGATTAACAATCACAATACGTGGTTGTTAATTGAGTGTGTCATAAGCGTGTGTCATCAACTATGTCTGCTGACTGACACACTATCAGTTTCATTAATGTTGATAACAGTATGGCTAAAACCGCCTTCAGTTTAACTTTGATCAGAAAGCGGTCCTGACCACTGGAGTCTCACAGATGCTGACCTCACTTTGCAGATTTCCTGGGCCACATCATGAACATTGTTAGAATCTGATTTATCACCACAGAGATATAATAATAATGGATTGGATTTATATAGCGCTTTTCAAGGCACCCAAAGCGCTTTACAATTCCATTATTCATTCACTC